GGGATCCGACCCCTCGGCGGGAGCACCGCCGCACTTCCCAAGCGGCGCACTATCCAGTGCGCCACCGGGCCGGCCCAATTAGTAGTGCTTTTTAAGCAACTGATCTTGTTTAATTATTAATTTTCGTATTGTGCTTTCGAGATTTTTTTCTTTCATTTTACAGCAGTTATTTTCAGCCTCTTTTTACCCAACCATTAAACATGGTTTCTATATTTTTTTAATAAGATAATGTCATTTGAAACTGACCCTGTCATCCTCCAGAGACTCACTTTCAGAAGGTAGACTTTGCACTTTTCCATATCTGTTGTGATATTGTGCAACCTCAACATGACCTACTGTATGCCATTCTTGAGCTGATTTAACCAGACACACAATTAGCAATAAAAATATTCATTTCCTTCTTTCACAAAGAAACAGTCACCCTTGCTAAAGCACATAATTAATATTAGCACAGAGGAAATGTCAAATTCTTTACAAAACAGGGAAGGTAAAATTATATTTGCAGATCCATAACATCATCTTCATTTGAAGTGAAAGCAATTTGTCTTTTGCAAGGCTATTGGCTATTATTAGTTTTGTAGATCTTAAGTTTTTGTTTTATTTTTTCCTCAGTTTTGAGAGTCCTGTTTTAGTAAACTAACATCAATGGTTATTTGTAAAATTAACCATTTCAGACTTTAGGAGCTTAAAAGCCAAATATCTAGAGACCCAAAGAAGCTTAAAGTAATGCTTTATCTCTACAGAAAAGCTAATCAGTAGAAAGAGTGCTTATCTGCGGTGTACTTAAAAACTAATGACAAAATTACATTTTTCTTATTAAAAAAAAAAAATGTCCTCTAAAATTTAATGTCTTAACATGCCAGAACATAGAAGATCTAAGTCCGTCATTTAGCATTGCTGCCGATTTTAAACCCAGAATAACTAAGGCAAAATTCCCCAGAAAAATACAACTTTAGAAAAGTTACTTTAATGAATAGAGTTTTAAGTGTTGTCTTTCTGTATTTTGCCCCTAACAGTGAAAGTCTGTAATTCTTAGATGTAACCAACCATTTTTGTTTTGCCATATAAGACAAGCTGTGATTGTTTTTTTTCTTTTTTCTTTTCCTGAAATCAGTTAGAGCTAATTAAGACCTTCACATTCAGTGAGTATTTGCTTATCATCTAGCTGATTGTTTTCTTTTAGTAGTACTTCCAAAGATAGATTTGTAGAATAGTATGATACAGTACCTTTATTAACTTGGATTGGGTATATTGCATGTCAAAGCATATCTGTTGAAATATTTAGATTAGTATAATACTATATAACAGCTCAAGAGGTAAATGTAAACTTTTTCTCTCCAACACTCTTGTACTTGAATTTGTCAGGTCAGGAAAAGGCTTGAAAAAGTAAAACTACATGTCCATAGATAATAAATGAGGTTCCAGGGTGTACTCCACTCTCCACACTTCCCACCCTCATGATGATCCTGAGTCAGAGGCTAGTGCCCATAGGACTGGATTCTGGGATGTTAAGTAAGACCTACAACAGAGTTTTGAGTGTCCTCAGAGGTGGAGACCTGGAGAAGCAGACATACTGTCTTTGAATCCTTCACTTGAGGATATAGTACCTTTCAGAGCCAATTGGGATTATCACAAACTGAGGACAGATCCAGACCCACATCCCCTGCATGTTTTGGAACTTATCTGGTGTCTGTGGAAGAGGGGAAGTCAGGTGACCTGCACTTGATGCCTTTTCCTGTAGGGCTCAGGCTATTAAAAAAGCATGCTCTTTTATCCAAGCCTGAATCAAATATATAGATGAACAGTAAGTCCACAGAATCTGTATAATTTGTTTAGGATACTTTGTCCTTTAAAATATTAAACTGAGAAATGATCAGATATTCACTTTTATAGCAAACCTATGTTTTGCCAGCAGTCATGGTTAGGATTTGAGTTATTAGTTTAACTTTACTTTGAATGATAAAGAATACCCTAATAGAAAGTTTAAACACACCCTCTGGAAATGGTGCATTTAAACAAATGAAATACTTAGAGATTTACACACTTTCACAGCATAGTACTGAGTGATTGGCCCCTCTTTATATTTTTTTGTCTTAAAAAAATAAATTTGGGGCCGAGCCCATGGCGCACTCAGGAGAGTGCAGCACTGGGAGCGTAGCAGCACTCCTGCCGCGGGTTCAGATCCTATATAGGGATGGCCAGTGCGCTCACTGGCTGAGTGCAGTGCGGCTGGTCTCAAAAAAAAGGACAAAATAAATAAATAAATAAATAAAAATTTGTTTGGTATTATGAGGGCTAGAGATTGGAGGAGTATAAATCAACACTCAATAATACCTTATTTATTTAAATTACTTTAAACTGATGGGAAAACTTCCTACCCAGTTCCACTATCTGCATACAAAAAAAGGGTGGCAGTAAAAATACAGTGACCAAATCAGTCTCCTACCTGACTTGTCTCATCTGCCTTGTTTGAATCCCATGAAAAGTAGATGTTGATGTAAAGTTTGTATCTCCCATTGTCTGGCTGCATCTGCCACCACAATCTTTGAATTGCTGGGCAGATGCCACAACTGTTGTTGAAAGAATAGAAGATTGACCTTGGGTTAAGATGGAATTCCTTTATTGTGCAGACACTGCAGTAGCCAGGGTGCTTTAAATGCCTGGCGTTGGTTCTGCTGGCAGTAGTCATAGGGCCTCTATTGTTCATGTTCAATTGTATTCCTTGCTCACTGTTGCTTATTGAGATGGAAAAATAGAATTTGAGGAAAAGGGTTCCAGATGTTCCTAATCTATTTTAGAATTACAGGCATTTGATAACCATACTGTTTGATGAATGCTCTGAATTTTTTGTTCCTAGGAGTTAAAGAGGGCTGCACTGCCTCCACGGAGCCTTCAACAATTGAACTCCCAGATTATTTGATGTAAGTTTATATGTCTGCCAATGGGGAGCACTGTTTAATTTTAGAAAGTTGGCTAATTCTTTTCTCATAATTTGCAAATCAGAAAAGTAAGAAGTTCCAGAAATAGAGGAGTCCTGGAGCCACCCCTGCAATTGAAAGGTTGCCATTAAGTCTGCTTGTCCCAAATCCACCCTTGTCTGCATAAGCACGTTGTGCTTCCTCCTGCTCTGCGCTGTGTTCATTGGCCTTTAAGTATAGAGAAGCCTGCCCTTTGTTCCAGGGCCAGGCCAAGCATTTGATTATGGAATATTTCAGGGATCTGACTCTTCAAAGTTGACAGTCTATCAATGCACATTCGGTTACCCCAAAAGGATGGTTTTTTACTGACAAAGTGCTTGAACCTCTGCCCTTAATAATACAAAGTAGAGATAGACTGATTTTTATTTAAATACAGTTTTGCCCACAATTTTAAGAGGACAGAATAATAAAATTTGATCATTTTACTTTAGCACTGGTTATAATGTTTTTCTTGTTATGACAACAAGTTGCTAAATGCTGAGTTGGGGACATTTTTGCAACTGGTTATCACGAAAATTATAACTTGGACACGTAATTCTAGCTTTTTTACAGAATAAAAGGCTTCTGTGAGAAGAAAGTAATTAAGTTGCAAGAGCCTAGAAAAGCGGAGAGTGAAAGGGAAAACAGGTCTGACTGTAGATAGCTTTGAAAATTAACACATGTGCAAATAACTAGAATGGAGAATGGAACATGGGCTGTATGAACTTTTTTTTTTCCTAGTAGTAGCATCTCATGGTGGACAACATTAAACTATGCTTTTTAGCCCTGCTTGTTTCCAGAGTAGAGGACACTTTGGATTTAAAATGTGTTACTTCTGCTTAACAGTGATGCGAAAGCTACACTTACTAGGGAATGATATACAGCATGAAACCATGATGCTGATTATCTCTTAACCAACAGGAACCCGAGAAACCGTGCTGAGTACTGTCTCCTTTGAGGTAGTGTATAGTTTTAGAGTTCTGTGGGTTAACCTTGAAGAGCAGTTACACTGAGTTGGACCAGGAAGGGTTGGTTGTCTGCAGCCACGTTCCCAGGATAGCCCTTGGCTCCACTGCTGAGGAGCTTCACCTCTCCATCTGCAAACCCACTTCTCCTTCAAAGTCTTCTGAAAGTTGGCACCCTCAAGTAACAGCTACCAGTATAGTGCTCTCATCCTCTTGTGATGGATTTCGAATTCCTCTTTTTTATAGTAGGGATATATACTTGTTAGATATGACAGAATCGTGGGGTGAGACTAAAAAAAATTCTAAACTTTTCCCCATAGAGTCAAGGCTGTTGCTGTGTTATGCCAACTTAGTTAATTCTATATTTAGAAGTCTTTTTTTAGGTTACTGATCTAAGGATGGTTGCTGCATCTGCCTCAGTGCATTTCTATATGTTTGTCATGTTTCTAGTGCTGCCTGCTTGTTTGCTTAATTTGTTTATGTAAAGCAATTTATTTTATCCAAAAATTAAGTTTTATATAAGTACAGTAAATTTTCGAAAAATGACAGGAAAGCGTGAATTTTCAAAAAAACCACCAAAAATACAGAACTTCAGTTGCCTCATAAGAAAACCAAAAAGACATGCTATCAAATCTGAATGATCTGCTTTTGAATAATTCATACTTAAGCACAATATTCCTAATTTTTATGTAGTAAGAATACTTTTGTTACTTGTGGTTATAAGTTATCCAAACTTTTAAAAATTTTATTCTATCACTGCATTAAGAGCTAACTGTAGAACCATAACAGTTTTTGTTAAAAATAGTGAAATGTTTTTTATTAAAATGCTAGTATGACTACATAGTTTTCTATAATAGCAACACAATTGTTGGCCAATTTGGTATTTTCCCCTAAGGAAATTATTGAATAAAATACTGCTGGTATGATTTTGAGAAAGTGGGATAAATATATAAGAAATTAAATCTGATTTTCCAGATTGGTTGAACCATTTTGCTTATATACGCTTATCCCCAGGAACCTCTTTTTATCTCGGGGCTCCCTCTGGTGCGCAGTCAAGACAGCCCAAGTCTAGGGAGGACTGCTTCACTGCTTGGCTGGTGGTGTTCCTCTTACAGCTAAGACACCAGCAGGGCTGACTTAAACCAGCATGCTACGGCTGACTCAATTACACTTAGAAAATTAAACCACTGGACTGTCTAACTCAGCATGAATAAAAATATTAATGAGGACACTAAGTTTGCTCACTGCTTCACTTTTCTCACATTTGCAGCTAGGCATCTGTGATATAGCAATTTAGATAAAACTGGTATGATTATATAAAACCATTTGGAAACAACTGAACTCCAAGATTTTACCACAGTGAAGAATATATGTGGACCCCCAGGGGACATCCTGAAGCTTGTGCCACTTGCCTGAAATAGTTTTATCTCACAAAGTCAAGAGAATTTTGAATTCCATGACTGGAGCAGAGTGCAAAGAACCAGACCAGAACCCAATGTGATGCCAGTTCCCAGATCCGTAAACAAATAATAAGAAGTTTGTTTTAATGTTAAAATACTGTTTTAATTTATTTACCACTGAATAAATTGACACTGGGAAAGTGGCCCTTCACTTACCAGGTCCCTAGGGGTATACACACCCTGAAGTAAAACACAGATTTGTGGTATTTTATTTAACGGTCTTTCTGTTACACATAGTATGGCATTTAAATGTTTAAGAAGAACTAGAGAAATATACCTTTTTTTGATAACTTATTTTTAAAAATAATAAACAATTCTCCTTTTGTGTTTCATATATTTGCCTAGTCAGAAACATGAGGAAAGGGATAGGGGCAGAAAGCCTGAGGCACTTTGTTGAAGATTCCTGCAGGGGCAGCAGGTCTGAAAAGCTGAAAGAAAGACTTCCTCTCATAAAGCAGTGGGTCCAGAGAGAGCTTTGACTTCAGCACTTAGTGACTATGTGATATTCTCCTGGTGTTATGTTACCCATCTAGTCCTTCTGTCTCAATGTGACTTGTAACTGATGGGTTGGCCTCTGCCATTAGCATGGTGTTGAATTATTTTTGATAGAGAAAGGTTCAGGAAGCTAGACCTATGTAAGTATTGTTTTCTTTTTACATAGTTGCTCTTAATTCCATTGCCCCCACATCCTCTTCACATTCACTCCTTTCATTAAAGCTGTTAAGCTCTCCTTTGCGATAATCTCGCCTGGAAGGTCTTTGAAGGAGTAATTTGGCAGCAAACCAGTGGCAGAGTAGCATTAAATACTAGTGATACATACATGGATATAGTTTCTAAATACTTGATTTAAATTTCAGACTTAAGCAGTCATGTTTATTGTGTACCTACGCTCTGTTTCTTTTTTCTTTTTTTCTTATTAGAAAATACATCGCTATCGTCTCCTATGAGCAACGCCAGAATTACAAGGATGACTTCAATGCTGAGTATGATGAGTACAGGGCTTTGCATGCCAGAATGGAGACTGTAGCCAGAAGATTTATCAAACTGGACGCGCAACGAAAGCGCCTTTCTCCAGGCTCAAAAGAGTATCAGGTAAATGGATTCGTTTACTAGATGGACTGACTTTTATATTTTACCTTCTTTCTTTCCCTGCCACACCTAACCCCAGCCATCCCCCTAGCCTTTAGAACAAGTTCTCTGGCAGACCAGCCTCTCTGCTGCTTTAGGAAACCAAATACTTTATTTGAAATAGTTCTTAAAAATAAATAAACACAGCGAACCTATATTTCCACCACCGGTAAAAAAACTTTTGTGTCACTATAACACAATATATAGTGTTTTGAGAAAATACCAAACACAACTAAATAGGAAAAAAAGTTGGATCTTGGGATTCATTTAAATATTTGGTTACACTGCCAACTCAGACTACAGCTCCTAGGTCTGGTGCTGTCTCCCCAAAACTGTGCTATTTCAAGTAAATTTTTTAAAATTTTTTTAAACCTCAATCTTATATAGAATAGGGAAGATAGAAACATAGGATACAAAGGAGACTTAATACTACAGAGGTTTGGGGTTTAACTGAAGGAAAGTTTGGTGCTTCAAGCTATTCCAGAAGCTGTTGTTTGTTAACAGGTATTAATCTGTTTCAACTTCCCTACTTTAAGTGGTAATATTACTGCAGCTAACAAAGAACAATAGATGCCTGACTTGTCTCCTCATATTTTTCATAGCTCTTAGCAAAAGGATTGGTAGAAATGAATATTTCCCTCCTTGCATAGGCCAGAGTAATTTTGTCACACTTCATAGCCATGGATGATGGTATGGTGCCTCTATTTTGGCTCCCTACCATTGTTCTGACTGGAGAGAATGGATGAATTTTCCCACAACAGGAAAAATAGCCTGAGAACATTTGTGTACTAGAGATTCATTATGTCTTGTATTAGTGGGCCTTAATCTTTCAACAAGCTGGTGAGAGTTATGGAAGACTTTGCCAGAGGAATCAGTGTTTGGGGGGCAAGAGGTTGGTGATATAAACTGCTAAGATACATACCTGGTACATAAGGACAAGCTAGGTATATTTTTCCCAGACGTCTGATTTCCCCACCTATAGGCAGTCACTATTACTGATTTCCAATGTATTCTTTCAGAAGTGTGTGTGCTTGGTGTATGCATGTATGTAAACATGTGTGTATATGAATCGTATGTATAAACACAGAAAGTTCACATGTATACCATATTTAATTGAATCTAAGTTTTTTTCAGTTGTAAAATGTACCATGGCCCTACGTGCCAGTAAACTTAAACTATGATACATTATTGTTTATTCTGGTTTCATTAAAACGGGAAGAAGTGTTCATCGTAGAAGTAATGAAATTCTTGGAATATAATAGTATTCTATTTTTCCCTTTTAAATAAATGGTATCAAACTGTTCTGCACTTTGCTTTTTTCACTTAACATTACAATGCGTCTTAGAGAATTTTTTAATATCAGTACATACAGTGCTTCCCCATTTTTTAATGGGTTCTTATTCTTTGTATGGACTGATGGACATTTCCATTTTGTTTACTGTCTTTTGCTCTACAAACAGAGCTGCAGTGAATAACCTTGTATATACGTCATTGCACTCAGGGGCAAGTTCATCTGTAGGATAAGTAGAATTGCTGAGTCAATTTTGCATTTGCTATTTTGATAGCTGTTGCCAAATTGCCTTCCATAAAAATTGTACCAAGTTACATTCCCATCATCAATATTTCCTACACCCTTGCCAAATGTGTGTTAACTATTTGTATTGCCAAAAATAAAAAGAGTTGGTCTCTTCTGATTTCTAATTTTTAATTTTGTAGAATGTTCATGAAGAAGTCTTACAAGAATATCAGAAGATCAAGCAGGTAGGTATCATCATTGTTGGTTTTCTGACCTGTAGTTGAGAAGTGTTATAAATTCTGCAACGTAATTCCTTACTGTTTTTTTCATCTACAGTCTAGTCCCAATTACCATGAAGAAAAATACAGATGCGAGTATCTTCATAACAAGCTGGCTCACATCAAAAGACTAATAGGTGAATTTGACCAACAGCAAGCAGAGTCATGGCACTAGAACTCTGCTTGGACCAGAAGATGTGAATAAACTTAAGCTTATTTATTTAAAATTCCAAATGAGTTGTTCTAGATTCTAAAAAGATGAAACTTTGCCTGTTGAAAGTTTCAGTATTAGTAAACTTGAGTTACTTTTTTTTTTTCATTTTACTTTGCTTCCCTGCATTTCAAAACTGCTTTTTCTGGTCCTTCCCGCCCCCCCCCCTCCCGCCACCCCCAAGATTTGTGTTTGTTAATAGAAATAATTTTTTAGATATTGGAGATCCATTGTCTATACTTTAAATCATTTTTTTTTCTCAAAAACTTGTGTTTGTCATTAAGGATAATTTTTTTAGATATTGGGGATCCAGTGTCCACACTTAAAAGTTGTGTGTGTTTAAAAAAAAAAAAAAGTAGTGAAGTGCAAGGTGAAATGCTTTTGGATAAACATAAGCCTATTTTCTGACCTTTCTTAATGCAAACTCTTTGCCTTAAATGGTAGAATATTTAGAGTAGTGAAGTGCAAGGTGAAATGCTTTTGGATAAACGTAAGCCTATTTTCTGACCTTTCTTAATGCAAACTCTTTGCCTTAAATGGTAGAATATTTAGAAATTTGCACAAAATACAAAAAAAAAATTAAAACATTGTTTTGGAGGGTTAAAAACTAGAAAGGTGTATGAGCATTTGTATGTGTATAGACTTACATACACAAATGTATACATAGGCTGACTTGATCTAGAACATTAAATCCACCCTGCAAGTTAACCCCCCATTGCAATGGTTGCCTTAAGGTGTTTGCTAGTTGTGTACTTAGTGTGGTTAATCATTAGCTACACTGCTTCCCACGGGATTAGAGCAGTGGGAAGCACACTGCGGCCTACCAGCGTCTGAAGCGTGTGCTCGACCTGTATGTGTGCAGAGGTGGTGTGGATGTGAGTGTGCATGAAGGAAACAAAGCTGCTACTCTCAGTAGGCCAAACGCTCAGGTTAAACAACTGACGAGTGTTACTGTAGGTTTTATTGTGTTTTTTTTTTTTCTGTCAAATTGCTACTTCTATTGTGGAAGACAAAAGCATTTCCATTTCAACAGTTTGTCAGCTTTATTAATGTTGGGCAAAAATTGATATGTTATGAAAATGAAACAGATCTATAGTTTTGGGGCAAAATTATAAAATTAAATGTGTAGGTAACCTATTTATATACTGCTATAAAGTATTTTTTGAAGAGAGATATGCAAAGAAGCTATTACCTACATGAGATGTATATTTAAAGATTTTTTTTTCATCCTGGGTGCCAGGAGTATAAAAAAGAACAGATATATTTAACCATAACATACTGTGATTCATCAAACAGCACAAACTTTCATTTCATGGAGTTTATCTGTCGACACGGATTTAAACTATCTCTTGTTTTATCATGTGGGAACATAAGTTGTGTGGTCAGAAATATAAGGATTTTGAACGAATGTTGATTCAACTTGTGTTGTCTTATCGTATTGTCTTTTCAAGTGCTGCCAGTTGAAAAGGGAAGCATTATGTTTACAAACCTGTTTTGAAATGTTTGCCAAAATTTTGGTAGTATATTTAATAAAGATGTTTGTCTCCAGCATCCAAAAATTAAATAAATAACTTTGTTGTATATCACTGTAAACCAGAAAATGTTGGTATCTAGAAAATGTGAGAAAGCATGTAAATTAACTTTTCTCTTTGGAGTTCTTCTAAAAAACATAAACTGGAAAGATTAGATAATATATTAAAAGTATACAAAAGTATACAGATTATACAAAGACTGAAACAAGACCCTTTTGCACTATGACTCTGTAACATTACTGCAGAAATATGATTTCTATATAGCATGGACCTCCTAGGGAATTCTATTTCTTTTAGCATTGAGATCCCTGGTGCTCTTCCTTTTACCTCAGAATTGGTACAATCATTATTAAATATTAATTTATTTCAAACTTTAAGTTGAAAAAAGAAAAGAAAACAATTGGGGATAAATTTGGTCCTCGTATTATTAGAGTCAAGTCTTCTGAGGGGGGTTGTTTATAGTTAATGACATCATTGTTCTCAAAAGCAAGGTGCTTGAGCCACTTGCATCTCCCAAATTAGAACCTCTGGGTGTAGGGTCCAGGGAACTGCATTTTCACGTTTCTTGTGGGTGACTTTTGCAAGCCAAAGAATGAGAACCATTGACCCGGCTGTAGCTCTAAACTTTTAGGTCTCTAAAATCTTGTAATCTTGATTTGAAGGTCAACCATTGGCTTTTTTTTTTTTTTTAAAGGCCATTCCTGTCAGCAAGTGCAAATCACTTCCCCCTCTGCATGATCTGAGGTGCCCCCTCAGTTATTTCACTGCCAACTCTTATTTCAGAACCTGTTTACAAATAAGCCTTCCAGTTGGAGCTCCTACCCATCTACATCAGCACATCTTCTGGTTTACAAGTTGGGTAACAATGGAAGCTGGAGATGCTTTATGGAAATCCAGCATTGCACACCCATAGACTTGACCACATACCAGTAAAAGCCTTAATTTAGATGTTTGTTGTATACATTGGACAGATCCTTGCAAAATGTGTATCTATCAGTTTCGAGTTTGAGAGTTGTAAATCTCTAAATCTTCTATTACCCAGGGTTGCATCCCTTTTGAAGATGGGCATGAGCCAGTTAAAATATTTCTAATCATTTTTCATCCCCTACTGCAAGATTTCAAGACTCTTAACAAATGATTGTTGCAGGAATGGGTGGCCACTTAGTACAGATTACTCTGGTGAAAGAATTTATTTAGTTGTTTGGTTGGTTGGTTTGGTTTGGTTTTTTTGGAGGAATAGTAAGTATAAAACAGCATTGTCAACATTAGAGAATGAGTCGTGGTGGTGTTTTTTCATCACATTTCATCTACAGTAATTTGAAGGACCAACACCCATAAATCAACAGCAGATGGAATGAGCAGCTGATTTAAAGCAAACCAAAATAACATTAATTAGATGTGTTCTTTTTTTTTTTTTTTTCCTTTTTGTCTTTTTTTCGTGACCGGTAACAGGATCGCAACCCTCGGTGTCGCGCCCGTACCGCAACCAGCAACGGGATCGCAACCCTTGGTGTCGCGCCCGCACCGCGCTCAACCAGTGAGCGGACCGGTCTCTATATGGGATCCGAACCCTCGGCGGGAGCGCCACCACACTCCCAAGCGCCACACTCTACCGAGTGCGCCACTGGGCCGGCCCCAATGTGTTCTTTTTTTTAATGTGGGGATTTCTTCTTCTCCTATCTCGTTGATTTCCCGTGGAACACTTTATAGAAGTTAACTTTCAACTCTTTAAGTAGTAAGAGATATTCCATACTTGCTCTCACAAAAGTAATTGTTGTGGTCAGTTTATATCATTGTTCCATGCATTGATTATAAAAATTCAGTATTAATTTTCTTTCCTCTCTGATCTTATACCCTTTATAGGAGTTTTCTTTTCCCTTAAAGTATTTCACCTTATTATGTAAAACAAATGCATATTTGCGTATTGGAAGCAAGATGTTGAAATGTGATTTAAACAAAAATGATCCATCACTTCAGACACTCTGCTTGGGTGCCTTACTCTTTCCATCAGTGCACTTTGCTTCTGGAACCTGGTTGAAACTCTTTAGCCAGTTCATTGTCTTTCCTGCAGTGTGAGTGTCAAGTTACGTATGTATGCTTGGAATATGCCTTTACTACTTTTAAAGTTCTTAACAGTTTATTACTTGCCCAAGTGTTACTAAATCCTTTTCTTACGTGTACTGGATGGGGAAAAAATTATAGCCAGCACTTTGAGAGGAATGTTTTGGGGAAGGATATTAACTGACACTACTAAATGAAGGCCACAGAAGATGTTATCAATGTTCTTTGTAACCTGAAAATTGAACAAGGCTGTGAGGCTCATTTCAAACTACTTTCAAGTGTTAAAAATATATCTATGCTGTTTCTCAGTTGTTCTACCCAAATCATGTTAGGACTCTCAAAGGTAAAATGTCACAGGGGCTTTTCAGTTGTTACTAAGCTCCGCAGCTGTGATGGCCCCTGCTGTTCTACATCAATTTCAGTTCAATAAAAATGTTAACTTTGCAATTTTGTACTTGTTATTCCTTTGTCTCATTTCAAGGCTCTTAACTTTGTCTTAAAAAAAAAACAAAACAAAAAAACAACCCAGGGACAAAGTGTTCTCTGATGCCCTAATGTAAATGATCTTCCTGGGACAGAGATAGCACTTGTCAGTGCTTCTAGGAAGTGGGAGCAGGGTATTTGCTCCAGAACCCAATCTGTTTTATAAGTGTAGAAACAGCATCTACTAGGGGAACGTTAATCCTAGTTAACATTTATTGAGGGTTTCCTATTTATTACACATTTTTTTTCATGCATTATTCTATTTCTCCTCACCACCTGTTATCTCCATTTTACAGGTGTGTAAACCGAGGCTTAGAGAAGTTAAGAAATTTGCCCATCACATAGCTAGGAAATGGCAGAGCCTAAGAAGCCTGACGCCAGCATCTGTGCTCTTAACCACTATTCTATACTGCCCTTCATGTATTGATATAGGGTAAGACTAATTTTCCCAAAGTGACAATTCCAGTGACACCACACAGGGTAGATAAACTTTTTGATTCCTAAGAGGCTAGAAGGTGGGAGTCAGGGTAATGTCTAGTGGATTATTCTCAGTGAGTTGATTGTCAGAAATGATAGAATGAATCTGTAGGGAGGCCAAATACTTTTTGAGAAAAGGTCATTTCCCCTATGTTCCCTTCACTTTCAAATGTGTTGATAATAACAATTTCCTTAACCTCCAGTTTCTTAAAGTTTTCTGAAGGAATACTGTAGGAAGAAAAGAAGAAAGCTCCAGTTAATCATTGATATTAAAAACCTACAAGAATTAGTGCTATCGATGACCTGATTAGGTTTATAGGTAGCCTCAATGAGGAATGAGGTTCCAAATGTTATAATTGTGTCAGCAGCCTTCCCCAGTCCCTCCCCGACTGGACATTTAACATTGTACGTGACTTTTAGCTTGACTCCCTGTCCTCAGCTATAAAGTGAAAGAAAGTATATCTCCTTAC